CCTGAAGATAGAAGTGTTTGTTGAATCTGACGTGACATGTTCGTACGAACCCTTTGTACGAACAAAAGTAAGAGAAATTTAGGATAAAAATACGAACATGTTCTTGCATGAGGCCCAGTGTTTGTGTCTTGTTCTGTGAGTTTTAGCATCAGTTCACACAGACCATCGTTTTGAGTCCCAAGTGGCTGAAGCTTCATCCTCATGTGGGTGGGAGCTTTTATCTCCACATCTAAACCTAAAAAGTCAGGAAAGGCGTGGGCACCGTTCACAATCTCATCTAAGGAAAAGGGGACTCATTTCTGTTACTGAGGTCAACAGTTCAATGAAAATCTTCCTGAAACTATATATGACTAGTTTAATACCGCGAGTGAATACACAGAAACATGAAAATACAGCACTACCAAAGTAGTTTAAATTCAGAACAAGACTAACAAGCTTGGCTGTTTACATTTTTAAAGCCCTCTGGGTTTAAAAATGTGACAAAGGAAGCAGATACAATCGTAGAAGTCGACCGCTCCAACTTTAACTCTGCAGATCATTAAGGCTCATTAAAGGAGTCATTGGTTTGAGTGTTTCCAGATTTAGCCAACATGTTTTATTTGTTAAGTTTTTGACCTTCAACACGCCACAGATCTGGAACTGAGAGRGGCTCTCGTGTCTCACCTGGCCTTTGTAGAAACCCTCGAAGCCGTCGTTCACAGCAAACATTTTGTGTCCTTCAGTGATTCCCACCCTGACAGCAGAACGCACGGCGGCGTTCATCCCTGCAGCCGGAGCACCCACGTTCAACACGGCCACGTTAAAGGAGCTCTGAGGGCACGGAGAGCAGCAGTCACACACAACATGTAACATYTCACCAAATCAGCAGCAGATAATAACTGGTGTACATATTTCACAGCCATATGTTGTAACTCCAAGCTTTGACACTTCTTTACATCGTCACACTCGAGGCGTGAATCTTGCATTTAGTGTTCAAACAGCTTGTGTGAAGCTCAGCTTAAAAACACGGTTCAGATTTGCAGATTTTAGCAGAAATGAAGCACTTKCTGAGGCGAAAGGAAAACTGGAAAACTTTTGTCATCTCTTAGCTGTCTGAAAAATGCCATCCAAGTCTGTGAAACCAAACCTCACAGGAGAACAGAGCCTTACATGCAGAAAGCCACATGCTGCTAAACAARGCAGTGAAGCAGCAACATCCTTTCATTTCTCATGACAACCTCAAAAAAATAACTATCATCCCAACCAAATATTTAAATTTGAAAAAAGCGCAGGATTACCCCTAAATTTAAATAATCGCTAAATTTAATTTTACACCTCATTCACTTAGAGAGTCACATCTTTCTCAAATTTTTAGCTGAAGCCAACGAGTTTGAAAAGTTGCAGCTTTTATTTTGAAGGTGAGCTCCTCACCTGGTAAGTTGAGCCTCCTGAATCTGTGGTGCACTGAACTGTGCCGTATGTTTTATTTAATGTGACAACAGAGCCAAAACCATCTGCTAATGAAGAACAAGCTGACTTAGTTTCCTTTAGCAAAAGTGAAAATTACATTTGCAGCCATTGCTGTTGTTGCTACAGTAAACYAACCAAAAAATAATTTTTACTGTCAGTTTTTCTGGCTATATATGCAAAAATAAACAGATTGTGCAAATGAGAAACATGTACTGAAAAGATATTATTATTATTACTATTA